CGACCAGAGCACATGGCTGCAGCGAAGAGGGTGTTGCGCTACCTGTGCAGTACGTCGGGCATGGGGCTAGTGCTTGGAGGGCGGAGTCCAGTGGTCCTTACGGGACACGCGGACGCTTCTTGGGCTGACGACCAGGCTACGCAGCGGTCGTCACAGGGTTACACCTTCAGCCTTGGTTCCGGCTCTGTCTCGTTGCGGGCTACTCGCTCGTCTTCGGTTCTCAGCTCCAGTTGTGAGGCTGAGATCTACGCTGGGGCCATGGCTGCACAGGAGCTTCGCTGGCTCACCTACCTGCTGACTGACCTTGGAGAGCCGCCTCGTTCTCCTCCAATGCTGTACGTAGACAACAAGGCCATGCTGGCCTTATGTCGAGAGCAGCGTCTGGAGCACAGAACGAAGCACATTGCTCTTCGCTACTTCCTTGCTCGTGAGCTACAGCAGCGTGGACAGTTGCGGCTTGCGTACGTGGCCTCTGAGGCCAACACTGCTGATGTGTTCACCAAGGCACTCGCGCCTTGTGACCATCAGCGCTTCTGCACCCAGCTGGGTCTTGTACCTGTCTTGCCTCACTTGCTCTCCTCTTGACCTTACTTGTACTGTCACATATATATACTTGCTCTTGCTTGTCTAGCTTTATATATATATGTGTGTACTCCTGCATGTGAACTGGCCTTGTGGCCTTGCTCTTGTGCTCGGACTGTGTGGTGACTTTGTGATCCACCCTGAGCTTTGCTTTGCTTTGCTTGACTGGTCTTGTGACCCCTTGTTCTCCCCCACTTTGCCTATGGGGGTGTGTCAGAACATTATATAGCTTATGCTGTTGTGTAGGCTATAGTGGGGTATCCCATAGGGGGTACAACCCAATTAGGGTTTGCTATTTGTACTCACTTCACTCATAGTTCATTCATTCTCGTTCAAACTTTCTCACATGAAACGCCGGGAAGTCTCGTTTGAGGTTGGAGACAAAGTTTTGTTAAGCACGAAGAATATTCGTCTCAAAATCCCTAGAGCACGAAAGCTGTTCCCTCGATGGATTGGGCCCTTCGATGTGATCAAGCGTGTTGGTGTGGTAGCTTACAAGCTTAAGCTACCTGACACTTTACAGATTCACAACGTCTTCCATGTGTCTCTGTTGAACAAGTACGTTGCAGATGGCAAGTACTTACCGCCACCAACGATCGTCTTGGGGGAGGAACTGTTTTATGAATTCGAACGAGTGCTAATGCATCGTGATCGACAACGCGGCCGAAAGATAGTACGAGAGTTCCTCATCAAGTGGAAAGGCTATGGGCCTGAACACAACTCATGGGAGCCAGAAGAGCATCTGACTGAAACTGCAGTTCAGTCATACATGACAGACCTGGCTCGACGAGCTGCCGCACAACCAGTGGAGGGCGTTGACCCTGGTCGTAATGTGACACGGCGTACTCGAAGCGCTCGTCCTCAGAAGCACCCTAAGGCAACGGGGACGTTGCCACCTAGGGGGGGAGGAGTGTAACGCATAACCTACTCTGCCTCATCTACCGCTAACTTCCTAAGTCAACATCGAGAGACTTCCTCGATGAGAAATGACGTGAAGGCAATCGGGAAGGTTGAGTTGGAGAAGAACATTGGTTTGGTTTTCCCAACCCTCAACCTTGAGGCTTGGAAACTTCCAACCCATCAAAGTGAAGATTGGAAAGGTTGGATTTCCAACCAATCAAGTTGTGCCAGTTGTTGTTACAATCCACACAAACTTAAAACAACCATACAATTGTGCTAAGTTGGGTTTTTCCCAAACCAAACTATATTGCCACCTAGGCTCCAAGCCTATTAGCTCCCCAACCATGGAAGCCATGGTTGGGAAAAGCCCCAAGGGGTATGATGGAAGGGGTTGGAGCTCTCAAGCTCATTCCCACTTCCCAACAACAATCTAACTTGGAAATGGGATTTTCACTCTAAGTCTTTTGGGTTCTCCTAATAAGCTCCCCTACACAACTAGACTTGTGATTTTTCAAGGACAAGCTCTACAAGAAGCTCCTACCTACATATTAAAGCTTCATCAACCTTCTTCAGGCTCCCTTTTCTCCTCTCAAGCTTGAGGAGTACTGTCAAGGCTAAATTACCCCTTGGTGGGATTAGTTGATCTTGAAAGCCTTGTATCTTGATTTTATAAATGTTGTCAATGGTGATTTATATTTAACACACGGTTGCCCGTTGAAGGCCCGCTGTAGAGCGAGATTCAGGTCCTTGCGAGGGCCGACTCCCTGCCCAACGAGGACGTTGGCTCCAGGGGGGGACGAGTGTAACGCCTGTGGGGCTTACACGTAAGGGTATGAGAGCATCCGCTGCGCCTCAAATACAACCCTCGTTTTGACCCAGTGGGTAGCGAGGTGTTACATTTGGTCTCAGAGCCTGGGGTTCGATTCACTGCTGGGTCACATTTGAATGTGCCAGTCGCGAACCCAGTGAACGATCCGCCGCTGGCCTGGCCCACCAGCGAAGTCGTTGTAGAGCGAGATTCAGGTCCTTGCGAGGGCCGACTCCCTGCCTAACGAGGACGTTGGCTCCAGGGGGGGACGAGTGTAACGCCTGTGGGGCTTACACGTAAGGGTATGAGAGCATCCGCTGCGCCTCAAATACAACCCTCGTTTTGACCCAATGGGTAGCGAGGTGTTACAGATGGCGAGGCTTAGATATTTCGAGAGGGAAGGAGGCAAAACGACAGGCGGGCCAGGAAGGAGACGAGAGGACACGACGCGCGGAAGATTTTACGAATGGCTACAGGAATCGGCGTCGACGTGCGTACTGATTTCATAGAGGCGATTCGGGTCACCTTTCCTCACGGTATGTCTACTATGCTCTGATTGACACAAGCTTGTCGACAGGTGCTTGAAGTGGGAACGAAACAGGAAGTGGTTCAAATCATAATTAGCACTCAAATCTCGAGTTCGACACATTCGTTGTTTCCAGATCACAGGCAAGGCAGTTACCACTGCAAACACCTTTCGCAATCGTCAAAACGAAAAGCAAATAATACCATCGCTGTGTCGTTCTCGGTTCACCCATGGAAGAGCCTTCATATTTACGAATTTGAGTCGCCTCCATTTTGTTACCAGCACTCCCGCCCGTCACCTGTTCCAAACCCGAGTCGATATAACGTTCGTATTTCGTTATTTTTTGCACAGGTGACAGCATTTGCACATTCAGCACCTTCGCACACTGTTCGTCGAATCAGGTAAGGCTGGTAACCCAGCATAAACTACACAAGCCGAGAAGCGTTCATGACTGCTGCTTTTGCTATGTCAAGTACACAAGGCCCTCATGCGCTCATCTCACGTTAGAAGCTAAGTTATCACGAGCGCTTATCCTTCTTTTCGAACCCGCGTCGCGTAGAAGCTAGTAACATTCATCCTGCTAGTAATCCTCCTCTCCTCAGAATTTCTTATCTTCTCGTCTTTTTACCCTCGCTCCGAGTGAGATTCACAACTATGCTTTCGCTTCTATAATTTTCTTAAGCCATCGTATACTTTCAAGTAAAACTCACAATTGCGGTGCGTTTCAGATCGTTCGGCGTGTCCGGTGCCTGCTGTAGAGCTCACATTCAGGTGTCTCCGCTGGTCTCTCACGACGTTTCAATCTTTGAAACCCTAGAAACAGGTAAGGCTGGTTCGTCATAGCATTCATTTTGCAAGCCCGCCAGCACTTCCCTCAAGTCTCACTTCGCCGATGCTTCATACTCTCCGTTGATCTCATTTTTTCGTGTCGGTGTCGCAAAATGGAGAGGCGCAGTGCATAAGCTCTCGGCTATCTCAATTCCACATTCCTAGAGCTTAGTGCAAAGAGGAAGTTCAGTAAGCATGCATGGAGGTGTCATACGTCGACGCTCGTTTTAAGGCAAACTTTGCCAAGTGGGTATTTACTGACATGTGACGTGTGAGGTGACTGAACATAGGCATTGCCAAGATAAGAAAGTGACATGTTTGTGATGACGATATTGCCACAATTGCCGTCACCACATACATATCCCTTCATTTTTTGCTGTCCTCAAAGTTTTGCGGTTAATCCACGCTGCTGCTATATAACTAAAATTCGTGATTCTGCTAGAGTTATGATAGCTTGCATTCCCTCTACCAAGCTCTAGTCACGAGCAGCTGGTGATGCAAGTAATTCTCGCCTCTCTCTCAACACCCTTGCAATAACCCACCCTCACTACCAAAATATCCACCTTGTCCTCTCCCATGCCCATGTGAGAATCCACATACCCTTCCTCACCTGTAAGGTACCCTGACCGGCCAAGCGAGTTCATTTGCATATGACCTCCTCTGGCAAGTCGCGCTGGGGGTGAAATCAAGAAAAACGTTTACTCGCGAGTAAGTTCTTCCACGCCGGGTTGGGTCAGGTCTGGATTCGACCCGACTTTGCCCCGCCCCGATATCGGGAGAAAAAAAAAACAGGAAAACCGGGTCGGGTGTTAACTTGACCCGGCCAGATTTTGACAGTTGGGAACCCAGATCTTGATGTCGAGGGACAATTCCCCCCTCCACAACATTCCACAACTTAATCGATGCCTACAGCTTAGGAACCCTATGACGTTAGCAATACATAGAAATTCCCTTATTTTAAGCAATGGCGCCAGTTTAAGGGTTTTGGTTTTGCTTAGGGCGCTTTCGGCTCCAAATCTGTAGTGCTCACACTAATCTGGGCGCCTAGGGAGGGCGGATTTACTGTACCCGAGTCCCGACCCCGGTTCAGGCTAAACCCGACTTCCACAGGAAGGGTCGGGTCGAGGTCCTGAAGACTCTGGCCCGAGTCGACCCGACCCAACCCGACCCAATACCCTGGCCCATTGCTTTCGGATCGGGCCATTTTCTCATGCCTACTCTCCTGCTCTTCTCTTCTTGTGTGCGTGGTCTTTCCCTGTTTACCTCCATGCATTCATCTACATGCCAGAGTGCCATTCACGTCGAGCAATCTGCAGCAGTGGGGAGGAGGGAAGAGGCTGAATTTTGCTTGTAGTTATGGCTGTCGAGGGAGAGTCAAGTGTGATGAGTGAAGCAGTAAATGGACTGTTCGGATTAGTGAGAGGGGAGTTGGCAGCATTGAGGGGGGAGCTGGTAGTGGTCAGGGAGGAGGTGGCTCGACAGAAGGAGCGAGTGGCGATGCTGGATGGGAGGAACCAGGATTTGGAAAATGAGTTGAGGCGTGCACTGGGTGTTGTGGAAGAGAGGAGTGTGGCGACTGCTGCTGTGGTGGAGGAGAGGGGGAGAGAGGTGGCAGCAGTGAAGGGGGATCTGTTTCGAATCAATGCAGAGTTGGCAGTAGTGAATGTGAATTTGACAGCAGTAACGGGGAAGGTGACTGCAATGAAAGGGGAGGTGAATGCACTGAATTGGGAGGTAAATGAAGTGAGGGGGGAGGTGAATGCAGTGAAGGGGGAGGTGAATGCAGTAAATGGGGAGGTGAATACAGTGAAAGGGGAGTTGAATGCAGTGAAGGGAAAGGTGGGTGCAATGAAGGGGGACGTCAATGCAGTGAGGGGGGGGTGTGAATGCAGTGAAGCGAGGGGTGAGTGTAGTGACGGGGGAGGTGAATGCAGTGAAGGCGGAGGTAGCTGAGCACAAGCAGTCAACTACATTGCAGCTGGAGGAGGCTGAGTGTAGGCGAGTGGCGGAGATGAGGGAGATGCGAGGGGTGGAGGAGAGGGAGAGGAAGCTGGCAGCAGTGAAGAAAGAGTTGGATGCTCACAAGAATGCCCGCATGAAGGTGGACGTTGACTTGCAAATCAGGCAGAGTGAAGGCGATCAGAAGACGGCATGGCAGGTGGGTGTTGCGTGAACTTGTTCACAGAGCATGCATGGTTAACATGTCATCCTTTGTTTCCCCCATGTGTCCACCATATGCATCTGAAGAGCATTGACTTGTCATCTACCTCAGGCTTCAGTGCAGAGGGCATCAAGCACCTCTATAGGCTGCCACGGCTGGACACGCTAAGCCTGGAGCGCACAGACGTCTCAGACAGTGTCTTGGAAGGCATTGGGTCCTTGACCAGTCTCAGGATCCTCATGCTCGACGATACCAAGGTGACCGATGCCGGCCTGTCGCACTTGACAGCTCTGTCCTCACTCGAGGTGCTATCGCTTTCTACATGCAAGGGTGTGACTAATACTGGCATGGTGCACGTGGGGAGGCTGACAGGGCTTAAGAGGCTTGATCTGGACTGCACGGCAGTCACGGATGATGGGCTGCAGCAGCTGACTGCCCTGACCAAGCTGACAACTCTCCGGCCGCCACATGGAGATTGTGCGCAGGTGGATAGGGCGGTAGGGTGGGCAGGGGGTGATGGAGGGGGCACATGAGAGCAGAATTGACTGTGACTGCTTGGAGGAGAGGCGCAGAGGCAAGTGGCGTGGGGGAGTACATGCAGGTGTGTGCAAGGAGTGGGGGTAGTAGGGGTATACACATATCAGACCCTGCAAGGGCTATGCACTGCAAAGATGCAGCGGACTGCTGGAGGGTATTGTGCTGGATCGCTGGGCTGGCAGGCATGCTGCAGCGATGACATGTCCCAATCTCACCTCTTGCAGGGCCCCTTTAGGCAAGATAGGACAGCATCTAAGGGCAGACATTTTTTCCTAGATAAGCTTGAGTGCAATGTGTGTAATGTAATAGCCCCTTTATCGAATAGATCGTCTTCTGAACAGTCAAAGAATGCTTAATTCTTTACACATGTTTCATATAGGGTGCTCAAGTACACTGTATGCTGCCTGGGTCTTGGAGGCAGGGCATGATGCCTGGGGCGGAGGGCAGAAGTGAAGCACAAGGAAGTGGGACTGTGTCTGCATGAGTGAAGGGCAGAATAATGGATACTGTTACATCGCCCATTCATACTGTCCACTGCATTTCTCCCTTCTCAGTTCCTTGTCACTCACTGGCATGGTGGAACCATGCTCCCATGCTACCATGCTCCCATGCACCCATGCACCCATGCTCCCATGCTCCCATGCTCCATGCTCCCATGCTCCATGCTCCCATGCTCCATGCTCCCATGCTCCATGCTCCCATGCTCCCATGCGGTTCCCATGTCCCCATGCTCCCATCTCCCCATGCGCCCATGCTCCCATTTTCCCCCTTGCTCCCATGCCCCCTTGCTCCTGTGATACCGTGCTTCCATGATCCGCCCATCGCTAGAAGTGCGCGCATTTCTTCTCAACTGACGGCAGACAAACGTGGGTGGATTATTTTCTAGCCCTCTCTCTCTTCTTCCATCCAATGCTGCTGCTCAAACCTTTCTGCTTTTGCGCCTTCGTCCATACAGACATCACTAGCATGGTAATCTGATGCTAACTCATGGATGAAAGAATGAATTTGTGCACTGCTTCCCCGAGTGCAGTGCCATCAACCATCTTCCACTCCCCTCCCCTCGCTCAGCAGTACGCCCCGACCCACCTCTGTCCGACTCCCACCTGCTCCTTCAACTTCCCCAGCCAGCAGCACCTGTCCTGTACGAACCGTGGCTGCAGCGTGGCCCTCACGGCAGCACACTGCAGAGCCGCCGGCCGTAGCAGCACCAGTAGTGGCGGTGAAGTGGGCCAGTGAGGAGCGGCGTGGAGGCGAGCTGAAGGGAGGGAGTCGAGGTGACCCAACCATGGGCGAAAGGGCTGTTTTGAGCCTTGAGTGTGAATTTGTGGATGGTTTTTCAGGTGACAACAGGTAAGACGACGTGCCAATGCATTGCATAAGCTTCCCTCTCCTTGCCCTCTGGTTTCCCTAGTGTTTTCCTCCCCAACCAGGCATGGAGGTGTGAGAAGTGGAGTAGAAGAATCTGAATCAGTTTCTCACCCTATCCCTCTTCTTCCGTCCATTGCTACTGATCACGCTTGAGTATGTCATCCCTGCCTCACCCTACATCTCGTATCCCTTCTACCGCTCCCTCCCTGCCACATCCCTGTTTCTCCTTCATCTCTCCATTCCCCATTACAAGGTTCACCCCATCTCAACCATCACACCCGTCACTTCGGCCCATCGCACTGGCTTTCATTTCAAGTATGCCATTCACTCTGTAAATACACCAGCGGTTCATCCCCACCTCAGTTCCTCCTCCTCTGCCCACTACCCCCTCCTATCTTCTGCTCCACCAAGCAGCAGCATCATACCCATTGCACCTTCAGCTCTGTCCCACATAACCTACACCACAAAAACCTTCTCTCCCTCAATTTCCCCCTTTTATGCTCCAATTGCCCGCCTGAGCTGCTCATGTATTATGCCCCCCTTGGCTCACTCCCCCTCCCCCGTCCCCATCCTTTTATCCCCGTCTCCCCACTCTCCCCCCTCCACCTCCTCCTTGGTAAGTGGCTGACGGTGGCAGCACATAGGCGCCACTGTCATATAAACTCTCAAGAATCTCTTTTCCTGCCGCCACAACTTCACCTTCCCTTCCCCTGCCCTCTCCTTCTAGTAGTAGCCTCTCCATGCGGTGATGCTTGGGGCATGGGCAGAACCAGATGGTTGGATGTAACCACTCCACATCAAAAGGGTGTCAGCTTATCATGGTGTGTTTGTCAGGAAAAGAACTGCACTCACTCCTCATTGCACACCTCCCCGCACATCTCATCCCACACGTCATCCCACACGTCATCCCACACGTCATCCCACACGTCATCCCACACGTCATTGCATGTTACACATCCCACTGCACTACCGTTTCTGAATCACTTTCGCTTCTCGCAGCCCCTTCCTCCTCGTGTGTGCCCTTCACCAATTCCATGTGCAGCAGAGTCCATACTCACTATTGATCGAGCATAACGATACAGATGGGTGCCACACTGCAGCAGAAGATGAGTCAATGGTAACCAGCCACGAGGATGCATTGAGTGGGTGGAGTGTGGCTGTCGACAGGAGATGCAGTTGTGGCAGCTTGTCTTTTACAGCTGGAACTGAGGTTTATTGAGTACCTACATCATCCATATCCCCTGAAATAAAACAGATCAAGGCACCGCGAGAGCTGGTGACATACAGGAAGCTGCTTGCGATGCAGTAGAAAGAACCAGACTCACATGACATGATATTAATCATCTCCTGCAAGCTTCCTGTGTGCCAGTGAATGGGCCAAATGGGTGGGTGGGTGATGCAGCAGCAGCATGTGTGAATTGTATCCTTTACCATGCAAGCTCAGGCCCACTCCTGCTCCACCCCGCCCTCCGTCCCATGGATCACCCAGCAAGTTACTACATATACGGTACATGCATGCATGCCTGCCTATGTTTTGATACAATCAATGTGATAGAATTTTGCATCCAAACCAGGGTCGTCGCTAGCAGAAATTTTCTGTCTGTTTGTCTTATATTCAGATCGAGTTTTTAGAGTTCATCTGATTTTTCAGAAATTTGTTTTTGTAATTTCTGATTGATAAGGAGTAGTTTTTGAGTTTATCTGATCAATCAGGTTCTAGTTTTCGTTTCGTCTGATACCGAATCCAACTATGTAGGGGTGAATATGGGATTCGAGTTGTGAATGGGCGAATCTGATGCGTCAGGAGGCGAATCTGTTAGTGTCAGGGGGCGAATCTGTTAGTGTCAGGGGGCGAATCTGCAGTGTCAGGGGCGAAATTGTTGTTACGGGACGAATCTGCTGTGTCAGGGTGACGGTGAATCTGCTGTGACGGTCCGAGTTTGCTGTGAGGGGGTGATTCTGCTGTGACTGGTCTAGTCCGAATCAATTGCGTCAGACTTGCATTTCGAAAATATCTGATACATCAGACACGGTAAAAAACAGAATCAGATGGATCAGACGGGCCCGAAGGTCCCGTCTGATCCATCAGGCGCCCTCAAATCCTAGCGACGACCCTGATCCAAACCTGAGTATCATGAACTTCTTTACGGTACTGTATGTTGCAATCTGAAATCGAGATTCACAATCATAACGCTACCGTAAGATGTGCCCAGGCAAAGCCTCAACAAAGCCTCACCAGCTTCCACACACGTCCACTCCTAGCCTAGCTAAAAGTATCTCCTCATTACAAGCACTTGATCTCCCATTCCTCATCATCACTCTCTGCAAACTCCACTTCCCATCTCATTGCACACCTAATTTCATTGGAGCAGCAACAGGAACCTCAGATCTCATGATACCACGTGACTCCCGTGCCATTCAGGTCAGAGCCCTCAGATCCTGTATCAGAGCAGATCTTACTAAGCTGAAATGCCTTCTAGATCCATCATACCCTCTCTTCTGTGAAGGTACTTCTACACCCTGTGATCTCCCTTTCTTATGCAGCTCCTCTCATGCAGCCATACTAGTCATTACTCACCACTGATCTCAGCCCTCGCCCACCACTGCTGTCACCACTGCTGCCGCCACTGCTGCTGCCACCCACCATGCACGCCTCCCTCACTGCTCTCTTGCGTGCCCTTGTTCCGAGCTTCCCCGCCTCCCCTCCCCTTCCCCTCCTGCTCCGTCTCGCCTCCCCTCCCCTTCCCCTTTCCCTTCCCTATCCGCCCTGCTCATGACCGCTTCCCCCTGCTCATGACCGCTTCCCCCTGCTCATGACCGCTTCCCCCCCCATAATAGAAGTGCCAGGCAGGCAAGTCCTATGCAACTGCCCTCATGCACACGGTGACCTCTTGCCCATCCAGCCCTGCACCTGCTTCCATCCACAACCACCATTCAATGCCTCACACCTCCGCATGCATGTCTCCCCTCATTCTTCACACCCCTTGCCTCCATACTCCCCAGACAGTCACAGTCAGCTCTTCCCTTAGCTCAATTCCCTTTCCATAAGAATTCCTTGCCACCCTACATGCCTATCCGCCCGCGCAATTTATCCTTGTCAAGGGGCCAAAACCTTTCTGGCGACTGGAGTGTTGTCAGCTTGGTCAGGGCAGTCAGCTGCTGCAGCCCATCATTTGTGACCGCAGTGGCAAGCAAATCAAGGCTCTCAAGCCCTGTCAGCCTCCTCACATGCACCATGCCCGCATTTGTCACACCCTTGTAGAAAGCGACAGCTCTTTGAGAGAGGAGAGCTCTGTCAAGTGTGCCAGACCAGCATCGGTCACCTTGGCCTTATGGAGTTCAAGCTCCTTGAGGCTGGTCAAGGACCCAATGCCTTCCAGGGCACTGTCTGACACGTCTGACCATTCAAAGCGTAGCGACTCCAGCTTTGGCAGCCTGTAGAGGTGCTTGATGCCCTCTGGAGTGAAGCGTGAGCTAAAAAACAGAAGAATCTTCTTCAAATAGGTCATTGTGGACACATGACCGAGCATGGTGTCCTAGATGCTGAAGAGAAAGATCAGATCCGGATCCACTTGATTTGCTGGACGTTATCAAAGTAGAGGGAGGGAGGTTTTGATTGGGAGGAAAAAAAACGGCCACATGACAATACCTAACAACACATGCCCTGACAAACCATGCACGCCCTGTCTAACACTCCACCCAGCACTCACCAACCATGCCATCCGTTGGAAAAATCCACTTCGCCTCATTTCCAGCTCAATATCCCGCTTCATATCTTGTATCCCATGGCCTTCTTTACGAGCTTTCAGTCCCTCCATCTTGCCCTTCACTGCAGCCAGCTCACCCTTGGCTACTGCCAACACCCTCCTTGGCTCTTCCAGCTGTCCTCTTAGCCCCCTCAAGTCCGCAACTCTTCTCTCCTCAGCCTCCTCTAACTCCCCTTCGGCTGCTTCCAACTCCCTCTTTGTCTCTTCCAGCTGCACGCCAAGCGCCTTCATTCCCATCTCCATTACCTCAATCAACTCGTGTGTCCCGCCATGCTTGCCATGACACTCCCAGCAGCCTCACCTTCTCTTCCACGTGGCTGCAACATGGTGAGGGGGAATGAGAAGAGGAAGGATGAGTGGCGAACGGACTGGAGGAGAGAGGAGGATACCACTCAAGACAAGCCAGCATAGAATGCAAGTAAACCACGATGTGCTGAGTGCAGCAATGTGTGGTGTGCCAGTGGAAGGACAACAACATGTCATGGCAGAAACCACTCACATCCACTGTAACTGGGGCATCCCTGGCAAATAGTGTGGTAGTGATGACTGCGATGACTGCGATGACTGCGATGACTGCGATGACTGCGATGACCGCGATGGCTGCGATGGCAGCGATGGCAGCCCCGAGAAGGAAAGCCACCAGCAGCCCTAGCAGCCCCGTGGACCCTGCAGCCTTGCAAGCCGCTCTCTTAGTCGACTCAAGAACCAGCCCTCGCGACGTCATGCCCCTGCAGCCATCCCAACCAGATTTTGAAGGAGATGCTGTTAACCAGATTCGAAGGCAAAGGCGACGAGCAGCCGAGGAGCGAAGGAGCAGCAAAGGGAAGTGTGCAAAGAGCTAGCAGGTCTGGCAAAGAGAAGAGGTAATGAGGAGAGGTGTTGAGGTGTTGAGGTGCTGAGGTGATGAGGTATTCCCCATTCACCTGCATATTCCCCACTCACCTGCCTATTCCCCACTCACCTGCCTACCTGCTCCCCATTCACCTGCCTATTCCCCACTCACCTGCCTATTCCCCACTCACCTCCAGGCTCAGAACGACCAGGCTCGAAGCGGCCAGGCTATTAGCAGCCAGGCTCGGAGCAACCAAGCTCGGAAAGCCAGGCTCGGAGCGGCCAGGCTCGGAGCGGCCAGGCTCGGAACGGCTCAGGCACTGCACACAATACGCTAGTAAGTGTAAACGAGGGAGAGTAAGAGAATCACTAGAGAGGGGGAGGGGGGGGGGGGAACAAAGGTAGTCTGAAGTTCTTGTTTCCCCCCACTCACCTGAAATACAGTTTCTTCCCCACTCACCTGAAATTATGTTTCCCCCCAGTCACCTGAAATTCTGGTTTCTTCTCCACTCAACTGAAATTCAGTTTCCCCCACTCGCCTGAAGTTCTTGTTTCCCCCCCCCCACTCACCTGAAATTCTATTTTTCCCCCCACTCACCTGAAATCCAGTTTTCCCCCCACTCACCTGAAATTAAGTTTTCCCCCCATTCACGTGGAATTCAGGTTTCCCTTCTGTTGCGCAGGTGCCACTTTGGCCTGTGCCGAGGCACGAAGATATTCTCTCTCAATGAAGGCAGAGTAATACAAGTTGGTAGAACGTGCTCACATGTATGCGTGTAATCGGCTATCACCTATACACAGGGACAGGGACAGAGACAGAAACATCAAAAACAGGGTTTAGGGTACAGGAAACAGGAAAGAGGAGCGGAAACAGAAAAGAGACTCGGAATCCCCAAGGAAACATGGACACAAACAGGAGACAGAAACAGGGACAATAGCAGAAGACAGAAACAGGGACAATAGCAGAAGACAGAAACAGGGACAATAGCAGAAGACAGAAACTGGGACAATAGCAGAAGACAGAAACAGGGACAATAGCAGAAGACAGAAACAGGGACAATAGCAGAAGACAGAAACAGGGACAATAGCAGAAGACAGAAACAGGGACAATAGCAGAAGACAGAAAGAGGGGTAAATACAGGAGACAGAAACAGGGACAAACAGAAGACAGAAAGAGGGGTAAATACAGGAGACAGAAACATGGACAAAACAGAAGACAGAAAGAGGGGTAAATACAGGAGACAGAAACAGGGACAAAACAGAAGACAGGAGGAGGGGTAAATACAGGAGACAGAAACAGGGACAAACAGAAGACAGAAAGAGGGGGTAAATACAGGAGACAGAAACAGGGACAAAACAGAAGACAGAAAGAGGGGTAAATACAGGAGACGGAAACAGGGACAAAACAGAAGACAGGAAGAGGGGTAAATACAGGTCAGTCCCTAAACCCTTCCCAGGGCTGTGAGGCGCTGTGAGGTGCTGTGAGGGGCGATTCGAGGGGCCGGGGGTGGGGAGCTGGGAGGGGCTGTGGGGCGTTGGGGGGTAGGGGGGGGACCTTAGGGGGGCCTTGGGGGGGCCATGGGGGGGCCATGGGGGGGTTTTCCCTCGACTCTTGTACGGTATCCTATCAGGCGTGTATCTTCATTCTTCCATAAAGCCAATGATATAGGTAGTGGTACAAAGTGAAGGCAGTAACATAGATGGCAGTGATGGTTACACCAGCAGCAGCAGTCAGCCCGTGAAGCAATCACCCTCAGCATCATTCCTCCAGGTGTTCAGAACCCTCCCTAACTACCGTACCGTATCTCTTAAGATTGTAATCACCCCCATCCTTCCTGCCTAGTATCTGCCTTGCCACTTCAGAGACATCACATCACAGGTAAGCAAACAGCCTATAAAAAAAGATGCTACGATACATGCCACGCCATAGAGCCTTACTAGTGCCTACCACCAGCTTGTGGATACTTGGAGCCCGTACACCTCATCGATGCTTCTGGGCAGCACATACCCATCACTGTCAGTCAGATGCACACTCTCCGCCACATGCAGGCTCCGCAGTGCCGTCAGCGCACTCAAATCCCCCGGCAATGCCTCCAGCGACGCACAGCCGGTCAAACTGAGGGATCTGAGCCGCGTGAACTGGGAAACGGTGGGGCACAGGGAGCGGACGTGGTAGCATGAGATCCACAGGTGGTTCAAGCGGGTAAGCTGGGTGAGAGAGGCAGGCAGCTCAAGGTTCACGGAGTGAACGAGGTGCAGCTCGCGCAACCGGGATAAGGCACCGATGTCATCCGGAAGAGAGGTCAGTGGCGCAGAGTAAACCCTCAAGGACGTCAGGTTCTGCAGCGCCGTCACACTCGCTGGCAGCTCGCCCAACTTGTACGCAGCTTCCAGCTTCAGCTTCCGCAGCTGCGGCAGTGCTGACCCGATGTTGGCCGGCAGCCTTCGAAGGTTCCTTGCGTAGTCCACAACCAGGGTGCGCAGGTGGGAGAGGAACGTCAAGGCGAATGGAAGCTCCTCAGCATCATCAGCCAACCTCAACTGCAAATGCTCCAGGTGCGATAGGCTCCTGCTCACAGCGACTCCACATGCCACTGCAACTACGTCCAGGCGGAGCGTTCGAAGCCCCGTCAGCGTGGAGACGTCTGGCAGAGCCATGGCCCGCCTGTAACCTCCCCAACTCAGCCATTCAGTGGACGCCGGCAGGACTAGAGGAGGCCGTGTGAGCATGTCACATCGGGCAACCTCCAGCCGCTTGAGCCGTGTCAAGCCATCCAGCCTTGTGGGCGCTGAAACCAGATTTTCGCAGTCGGCGAGAGAGAGAGCTTCCAGGGCAGTCAGGCCCGTCACGGACGCTGGAAGGGCCGTGAGATGAGGGCAGGTCGAGACGTGCAGCTCTCGCAGGTTGCTGAGCGACCCCACGCCCTCTGGCAGCAACTCCACGCCGCACTCGTTCAGCTCAAGCCTTGTCAGCGACGTGATCTCGGATATTGACGATAACGAGCACGGGAGATGCGGATATCCGAAGCTGTTTGTCACAAGCAGCGTGTGGAGGTTACTGAGGCGTCCTATGTCCGCTGGAAGCGCCACTCGCCCCAGGCAGAGCGTCGCGAGAGCTGTGAGGCAGCCGAACCCTGCTGGCAGCTCGCGGATCGACTTGCACGAGAGCAGGAAGAACGTCTCCAGGGAGCTGAGCTGGCAGATGGAGGCAGGCAAGCTCGCCAGCAGCGGCAGATGGTACAGAACCAGGGTTTTCAGGGCAGATAATCTCCCGATGCTTTCAGGCAGGCAGCGGAATTGGTCGCATTTGATGACTGACAAGGTGTCGAGGTGCTTCAGGGAGCAGACACCCTTCGGCAGCTCCTCGAAGGCCTGGCACCTGGAAACGGTCAGCTCACGCAGACGCGGCAGAAACTCCGCAATGCTGTCCGGAAGCCGCTTCAATTCTCCGCAATATGATATCTGCAGCCGTTCAAGACTGGTCACTGGCCAATCCGACAGCGTGTCCAGCGATTTGATCAGCGGCAGCTGTGCGATGGCGAAGGAAGCCCATCCATTAGGAGAAAACGTGGTCCAGGCAGAGAGTGAAAGGCTGGTGATGCTGGGAAGACGGCGCACGTTGGCCAGTTGCTCCTCGGTCAACTCCGGGGAGGCGATATGAAGAGTGGTGAGAGAGGCGAGGCTCTCTAGTTCTGGAGCTTCTAAGGCGGAGGCGGCTGTTAACGCCAGGGTGTGTAGACGAGTTAGGTGGAAGAAGGAAGCGGGTAGGTGGACGTCCCGATGGAGGCAGAGCAGTGACAGCTGCTCCAGCTGAGTGCATCGCTGCAAGAAGCGATCCAGGCCAGCCTCGGTGATCGGGTGCTTATGCTTCGGTCCGACATAGTCCGGATGGTGAGTGATCCCGCGTCCCACGTGGAGAATCGCGAGCTTAGGACAGGATGATGCGAGGTGAGCTAGGAAAGAGTCGTCTAGGGTTTCCACGCTGTCGTAGCACAGATGGAGATGGTTGAGATTCGGGAAGCACGCGACGGCATTCGAGAGTTGTTGGTGTCAGATTTATATGACATAGTTGCTGTAGGCTGTAGTGGGGTAGCACATATGGGGTACAGGGTTTCTAGGGTTGTATTTGTACCCAATCTTTCCTTAGTCATTTCATTCCTGTTTTCCTTGCTTCACATGGTATAGAGCGGGTCCTGCCTTAGGACCGTTTTTTTTTTAGGGCCCACCGAAGCGCGCCCCGAGGCGCGCCCTTTTTTTTTTAGCGACCCCTCGGGTCGCCTTTTCCCTCGCGGCCCCGCTGTCCCTCAGACGCGGCCCCGCCACCTCTCCTGATCGCGGCCCCGCCGCCTACTTGACGCGGCCCCGCCGCCTCCCCTGACGCGGCCCCGCCGCCTCCCCTGACGCGGCCCCGCCGCCTCCCCTGACGCGGCCCCGCCGCCTCCCCTGACGCGGCCCCGCCGCCTCCCCTGACGCGGCCCCGCCGCCTCCCCTGACGCGGCCCCGCCTCTACTGCCGCGGCCCCGCCGCCGCCTCTGACGGCCCCGCCGCTGCACCCTACGGCCCGCCGCTGCACCCTACGGCCCGCCGCCTCTGACGGCCCCGCCGCTGCACCCTACGGCCCGCCGCTGCTCCTGCCGGCCCGCCGCCTCACCTGACGGCCCCGCCACTGCTCCTGCCGGCCTGCCGCTGCTCCTGCCGGCCCGCCGCTGCACCTGCCGGCCCGCCGCTGCACCCAGCGGCCCGCCGCTTCACCTGACGGCCCCGCCGCTGCACCTGCCGGCCCGCCGCTGCACCCTACGGCCCGCCGCTGCACCCTACGGCCCGCCGCCTGCACCTGCCGGCCCGCCGCTGCACCTGCCGGCCCGCCACTGCACCTGCCGGCCCGCCACTGCACCGGTCGACCCGCCGCTGCACCTGACGGCCCCGCCCCTGCATCTCCCGGCCGAGCCGCCCCCGCAGCCGAACCGCCCGGGAGCCGAGCCGCCCAACGCCGAGCCGCCCGGGACCCGAGCCGCCCTGCCGCCGAGCCGCCCGGGAGCCGAGCCGCCCTGCACCCGAGCCGCCCAGCCGCCGAGCCGTCCGGGAGCCGAGCCGCCCTGCGCCCCAGCCGCCCAGCCATCGAGCCGCTGTGCACCCGAGCCGCCCGGTCGCTGAGCCACCTTTCTGCAGAGCTGCACGACCTGCCCTGCCTGGTGAGCACAGTCCCACTGACACTGCGAGCTCTTTCCCTACTGCTTGCACTGCGTCGCTGTCGTCGCCATGGCTACCCCTAGTGTCCTAGCTTTTGACGCTGAGGGTCGCGCCATTGATTTTGAGGTCTGGTTAGACGACCTGCAGCTGTTCTTACAGTGCGACAGGGCTGACGACCTTTCTCTCTTTGACCTCACCTATGGCGCCTCTCCTGCTCCTGCTGCTGATGCTGATCCCACTGTCCGCTCTAAGTGGGCCACCCGCGATGCTGCTGCACGTCTTGCTGTGCGTCGCCACCTCCCTACCTCTGAGCGTGCGCACTTTAGTCAGTACAAGAGTGCTCAGACCTTGTACGACGCTTTAGTTGCACGCTACTCCTCCCCTGCCACTACTGCACTGAGCCGTCTCATGCTTCCCTACCTCTTTCCTGACCTCTCTGCCTTTCCCACTGTCGCTGACCTCATTACTCACCTCCACACTAGTGACACTCGCTACCGCGCCGCCCTTCCTGCTGAGTTCTGCGCTAAGAACCCCCCCCCCATGTACATCGCTCTCTACTACGTAGTCGCGCGCCTCCCTGACTCCCTTCGCGTCGTCAGGGACCACTTTCTCGCAGTCTGTCCCACCACCCTCACCGTCGACCTCCTCGAGAAGGCCCTCCTCGCAGCGGAGAAGAGCATAGTCGCTGTAGGTGCTTCTCGTGGTGACCCTCGCACCCCCATCTTTGAGGGGTGCTCTCCTTCCCCCTTGCTGCCCTCTGTTGCCTCTACTGCTGCTGCCGACCTGCTTGGTCTTGAGTCGGTCGGCGCGGCGTCTGCCCCTAGTGGGAGACGTCGCTCCAGCAAGGGCAAGGGGGGCAAGGGCGCGGGTGGAGCTGGAGGGGGTGGTGGCGGTGGCGGCGGTGGCGGCGGAGGGAGTGGGGGTGGCGGCGGGACTAGTGGCGGGGGTGGTGGTGGTGGTGGCAGCAGTGGCGGAGACGGTGGTGGTGGTGCCAGCGGTGGTGGTGGAGGCAGCGGCGGTGGTGGAGGCGGCGGAGGTGGAGGCGGTGGAGGCGGCAGCGGAGGAGGCGGTGGTGGTGGAGGAGGTGGAGCTGGTCGAGGTGGTACCCAGCAGCGTAGCGGCGGTGGTGGTGGCCAGCGCTCGCAGCGGCAGCAGCAGCAGCGCTCGCGGGACATCCCTCCGCCTCAGCAGCTTCGTGAGTGGTACGCTGGGCGTCAGAGGAGTGGGGGTACTGGTCCCTGCACCTACGTTCTTCGTTCTGGCGACCGCGCGGGTGAGCAGTGTGGGGGTGCCCACGCCACCCAGCGCTGCTTTGGCCGCCTGACGGACGCTTGGCGTCATCAGTTCCCTGGGGCTAGTGAGATCCCTCGCTGGGATGAGCTTCTCAGGGCTGGTGTAGCGATCTTTGATCTTGATTTTGATGCTATCCTTGCTGCTATGTATGTTGTGGATTATAGTGAGGAGAATGAGGGTTACCGTTGTTTCCAGCCCGACCCGGGCATTGGTACTGCTGCGCTAGGTGCTTGTGAGGCTGCTGCTCTAGGTGCCAGTGCGTCTGTGCTCTCAGGTACTGGTGAGACTGCGCTCTCAGGTACTGCGTCGTCCTCGTCCTCCCTCACTTTCACGCTTGACTCCGGAGCTTCTCGCTCCTTCTTTCGAGACCGCACTACCCTTACGCCGCTCGGCCGGCCGGTTGCGGTCTCCCTTGCTGACCCCTCTGGGGGTCCTGTCCTGTCTCACTTCTCCACTGTCCTCCCGTGTCCGGCTGCCCCTTCGGGCACCCTGTCGGGTCTGTACCTTCCCTCGTTCTCTACGAACTTGGTGAGTGGAGCGGACCTGCAGGATGTGGGGGTTCACCAGTTCACTCCTGCGAGTCAGCGGGTGACCCACTGCACAGAGGCACGCACAGGCCGACACCTGGCCACGTTCTCGCGTCGGCCGGGGTCGAGTCTCTACACCCTGACCGTTGAGTCTCCTCCTGTCCCTGCGTCTGGTCAGGTGGCTGCGTCAGGTCAGGTGCTTGCTGCTGCGTCCCGGTCAGGTCCTGAGTCTGCCCCCTGTTCTTGTCGCCTCCTGTCTCACGAGACTCTCCTGTGGCACCACCGTCTTGGCCACCCCTCCTTGCCCCGTCTTCGGAGCATGGCTTCCCGTGTCCTTGTCTCTGGTCTTCCCCAGTCTCTCCCTCCTCTCCCCTCCGGGCCAGGACCTTCCTGTGTCCCCTGTGTCGAGGGTCGCCTCCGGGCTACTCCTCACTCCTCCCACTTCCCCCCGACAGAGGCTCCCCTGCAGACGCTTCACATGGATGTGTGGGGCCCAGCCCCCGTCCGTGGGCAGGGTTACGAGCGCTACTTCCTGTTGGTGGTTGACGACTACTCGCGTTACACCACAGTCCTCCCCTTGCGCAGCAAGGGTGAGGTCACTGAGGTGCTGATCGACTGGATCCGCGAGGCTCGTCTCCAGCTCAGGAAGAGCTTCGGCTCGGACTTTCCTGTTCTGCGTCTGCACTCTGACAGAGGCGGAGAGTTCTCTTCTCGCCTTCTGCGGGACTACTGTCGTGCACGGGGGATCCGCCAGACCTTCACGCTTCCGGACTCACCACAGCAAAATGGGATTGCTGAGCGCCGCATTGGCATGGTCATGGATGTCGCTCGTACGTCCATGATGCATGCGGCTGCCCCCCATTTTCTGTGGCCGTTTGCGGTGAGGTACGCGGCGCATCAGCTCAACCTTCACCCCCGGGTCTCTCGGCCTGCGATGTCCCCAGCCTTGCTGTGGACGGGGAAGGTTGGCGATGCGTCTGTGTTCCGTGTCTGGGGATCTCGGGCGTTTGTCCGCGACTTGTCTGCGGACAAGCTGTCCCCTCGTGCTGCTCCCTGTGTCTTCCTTGGCTTCCCCACTGACGCCCCAGGGTGGCAGTTTTACCACCCCTCCTCTCGTCGTGTTCTGTCTTCCCAGGACGTCACGTTCGACGAGTCAGTCCCCTTCTACCGTCTCTTCCCCTACCGCACTCCTTCCCTCCCCCCTCCCCCGGACTTCCTTGTGCCGGTTCCCCCCCCGGTAGACCCCCTCCCCCCTCAGGTTCCTGCCCCCTCAGGTGTGTCCCAGGTAGACGCCGTTGACCCGGTCGAGGTTACTGGTGACTCTGGTGCTGCTGCGGGTGCTGAGCCTGGGGGTGCTGACTCTGGGGGTGCTGTGCGCGGGGGTGCTGAGCGTGGGGGTTCTACTGCAGGGGGTGCTCGGCCTGAGGGTGCTACTGCGGAGGGTGCGGAGCCTGGGGGTGCTGAGCCGGGGGGTGCTGTGCCTGGAGGTGCTGGGTCTGGGGGTGCTGGGTCGGGAGCTTCTGAGCCTGGGGGTGCTGAGCTGGGAGCTGCTGAGCCTGGGGGTGCTGCGTCTGGAGCTGCTGAGCCTGGGGTTTCTCCTACTGCTGCGTCTCGCCGGGAGCCCCTCTCTCCACAGGAGCTGCGCGAGTGGTTCGCTCGCCGTTGGAGGCGTGCTGCTAAGTCTGGAGGTGCTGCTGGAGCTGGAGCTGGAGCTTCTTCGACCGTCGAGGGTGCGGGTGCTGCCGGTCCCGGAGCTGCTGGACCTGCGGGTCCCCCTGGAGCTGGAGCTGCTGAGGGCGTTGGTGCTGAGCCTACTGCTGTTGGTCCTGCCGCTGGAGGTGTGGGTGGCACTGGTGCTGTCGCTGAGGGTG